AGGAGGATGGGACAGAGGGAGTGAGGGAGGATGGGACAGAGGGAGTGGAGAGAGGATGGGACAGAGGGAGTGGAGGAGGATGGGACAGAGGAGTGGAGGGAGGATGGACAGAGGGAGTGGAGAGAGGATGGGACAGAGGGAGTGAGGGAGGATGGGACAGAGGAGTGGAGGGAGGATGGACAGAGGGAGTGGAGAGAGGATGGGACAGAGGGAGTGGAGGAGGATGGGACAGAGGGAGTGGAGAGAGGATGGGACAGAGGGAGTGAGGGAGGATGGGACAGAGGAGTGGAGGGAGGATGGGACAGAGGGAGTGGAGGGAGGATGGGACGGAGGGAGTGGAGGGAGGATGGGACGGAGGGAGTGGAGGGAGGATGGGACGGAGGGAGTGGAGGGAGGATGGGACATAAGGAGTGGAGTGAGGATGGGACAGAGGGAGTGGAGTGAGGATGGGACAGAGGGAGTGGAGGGAGGATGGGACAGAGGGAGTGGAGGGAGGATGGGACAGAGGGAGTGGAGGGAGGATGGGACAGAGGGAGTGGAGGGAGGATGGGACAGGAGGGAGTGGAGGGAGGATGGACAGAGGGAGTGGAGAGAGGATGGGACAGAGGGAGTGGAGAGAGGATGGGACAGAGGGAGTGAGGGAGGATGGGACAGAGGGAGTGGAGAGAGGATGGGACAGAGGGAGTGGAGAGAGGATGGGACAGAGGAGTGGAGGGAGGATGGACAGAGGGAGTGGAGGAGGATGGGACAGAGGGAGTGGAGGAGGATGGGACAGAGGAGTGGAGGGAGGATGGGACAGAGGGAGTGAGGGAGGATGGGACAGAGGGAGTGGAGGGAGGATGGACAGAGGGAGTGGAGAGAGGATGGGACAGAGGAGTGGAGGGAGGATGGACAGAGGGAGTGGAGGAGGATGGGACAGAGGGAGTGGAGGGAGGATGGACAGAGGGAGTGGAGAGAGGATGGGACAGAGGGAGTGGAGAGAGGATGGGACAGAGGAGTGGAGGGAGGATGGACAGAGGGAGTGGAGAGAGGATGGGACAGAGGAGTGGAGGGAGGATGGACAGAGGGAGTGGAGGAGGATGGGACAGAGGGAGTGGAGGGAGGATGGACAGAGGGAGTGGAGAGAGGATGGGACAGATTTTGCTGTTACAAATGTCTAACACATTATAGTAATTATAATGTTTATAATAAAAATAACACCATCAATATTTATAGCACTAGCAAAAAATCTTTTTCACGCCAATTCAAGGAAAAATGAAATCAGCCAAGTTCTCAAGATCTACTAATTGACTTCTTTGTGGCTAAGCACTAGCAGAGCCATCTATGTAATAGACATTTCACAACAGTACAAAAAATGAGCACAGCATTTTCCCCATTTTTCAATTTATTTTCCCTGGCAGCAATGGGTTAACAAAACAACCCTAGGGTCAAATATAAAAAAATCATGTAGAAAATTTGGTTGCCAATCTTAGTCACCATGATATAATTTGGAATAAATTATCATTTCCAGATAGGGTTAAACCTCCATGGACACAATTAGGTAATTCTGTAACATCTCTATAAATATTGTAATAAATATATACTGGTTCCTGTCTGTCAAACTAATTTTCTATCAAAGCAATGAAACAGTTAATGTGCATGTTTTTTTTTTTTTTTATGTACTATGTTACATAAAAAAAATGCTGTATCCAATTCCATTCTGGAAATTTTCAACATGATTTTAAAAAGGATGCAAACACTGACAGATCATACATAAATTTTGCATTTTTAGTCAAACCAGACAGATCCATCTGATGTGTCATTTGACTTGAAAGGAGTCTGTATTTATTGTGTTTGTTTGTTTTGACATAAGACTATGTTTTGTTCAAATAAAGTATATTACATATGGTAAAAATACTATACAGCAGAGTATACACTTTGTCAGGCACAGTACTTTTCAAATGTTTAGCATAATTTATAAATTATAGGTATCCATAAGAACTTAAAAGTACTGTTCCAGGTGGGCATTTAACCTAACACTAAATGTGTTACAAGAAAAAAATACTAGGAATTCTAAATAAAAAAAAAAAAAAAAAAAAAAAAAAAAAAAAAAAAAATACAACACCCTGATAATCAAACCCATAAAAAAAAGAAAAAGAAAGAAAATAAAAGATGAAATTGAAAACGTAATTGAAGCAAAACAGACTGGATCATATGGGCAAGAGGAGACGCATCACTTGTGTCTCCAAGGATGATAAGTGTCCGTCCTTGAATGGGTGGGCCAAGAACCATCTCCGGGGTGATAACGTCTCCGTTGTCCATCGTTATCGACTTTCCGCTCTTTAACTGGCCATAAATAGGGCCTGATGGAAAATACATGGAAAAGAATTAGTGGGGAATCATTGCCTGTTTCATTAATATATTCTTTCTTTTTTCTAAATAAGTGAATCTAATAACAATATCTAATAAACTGTTTTGACAGAGAGAGAGAGAGATAGAAAGAGAGACAGAGGGAGACAAA